TCTCGCTCGCTCTCTCTCTCTCTCTCTCTCTCTCTCTCTCTTTCTCTCTTACATACACTCTGATACATAATATACACACGTACATAAAAGAAACAGACATACATACACTATCGTCGTCGAAATTTCATTATCATCATCGTCCCTCTCCTTTTCATCTTCCTTCCCCTCTCTTCGTTATCCACATAGACATTTCCATGTTTTTTTAGGAACAACTAAAACAAAACAATACCCGGCGCTAGAATACCCGCATCAAGACCACCACCATCACCGGCAGAAAAGAACAACGAAGTTACAACAGCATCAACATCTATTAATGATCAAGAATAGTGTTTGGGAAGCCCCAAGGTACTGTTAACTCTCCGACTGCAGTGCCTTAAATGCCCTGCTTGCGTTCATAGCAGTGCAAAACAAAACTCTTAAATAACAAAGGCCACTCAAACACGATAGAGACACAAAAGTACCGCCTGAATGTCCAGGACAAAACCTTATCGGGGACACACAACTAAAATAGTCTCATTGGCGATTCTGAAGTAGTGGTGAGGCTCTTTTCCGTTGCAGACAAAAGATGAAAGTTTGATTCTCAAATGGAAATGTTTTTGGTTATTTGCATCGAGTTTTCTTGTCTGTCGATATATTGTCTCGCTGAGCTCAAGATAGTTTAGACAGGCAGGGTCGAAATAATATGCACTTTCTTTCAAGTGTGTTTCTACTGGGACATTGTATCTTATCCTGAGATAACCCTGACAGGCACACTTGAAGCCGACCTCATTAAAAGATATACTTCGCGTCGATTGGAGGGATAAAGCTATTTAAATATATAAATTAGAGGTCACTCGAACTATTTTTTACCCCTTTTGAATATATTTTTGCAATGAGTATAAGCCAACAGACTGTTAGGTCAACGTGGACCTCGGACTCTCAATTGTGAGGTCGAGTGTTCTAGTCCGGCAAGGGGTCCAACGTTGTGACTTTGGGAAAGGCACTTTGCACTGATTTTTTCCCACCCAGGTGGGAAGGGTACCTGGCTATAAACAGTTTGTTAAGTGTTTTAGCTCGTGTAATCCACACCTTACACTATATAATATACTTTCCATGAAGCCGAGAATACTTCTGAGTCGCTTTCCAGGATCTGCTGGAAAAATAATTATTCTTTAGCATATAACATATGCTGTAAAGCGTGGATATGTGCAAAGATATGAATGCAATCAATGATAATTATAATTTTCTGACTCTTTGCATTCTGCTTCTGGATCACAGGGATAGTCGACTACTGGTTTTTCAACAAGCAGTTAAACTGATTTTTATGCATGTAACCGTTTTTTTTCCTGCGAAGTTGGCTCCTTTACCTTGAAAAAGCGACATTCCAATTTCGAGGGTACTCTGGTTTATTTTTTAAATACTGTCTAAAGCATTTTCAGTTTCGGTTGGAAATGATTTTGAATATTTCCAGGGCGGCAGCCAAAGCCTACTCTTACCGATTCTAGGAATACCAAGGGATCTTTAATGTGAGTAACTTGCACACGTGGCCTCTGATACTTTTTGCTCTTATCCGAGAGGGCTAGCGTATGATCTTACAAACTGTAAGATCACGAGTGCGGCTGATAGACTGCAATAAGAGAGAGCCAGGAGTTGCGATTGAAAGAAACAAGAGTAGCGGGCGGGGGGAGAAAGGAGTCCAGAAGAGGCTTGTGGTAAGGAGTAGAAAATAGATATGAAAGTGCATGAACTGACCGGACTAGAGAACAGGGAGTAAGATGAAAAAGGGACATTTTTAGAGAAGAAAATTTTTAGTCGCTGTCGAGAACCATTTGAATGAGAGGCAAACACCATTCGTCTTTACATCGAGGGCCGCAAAAAGAAGAAGAAGAAGAAGAAGAAGAAGAAGAAGAAGAAGAAGAAGAAGAAGAAGAAGAAGAAGAAGAAGAAGAAGAAGAAGAAGAAGAAGAAGAAGAAGAAGAAGAAGAAGAAGAAGAAGAAGAAGAAGAAGAAGAAGAAGAAGAAGAAGAAGAAGAAGAAGAAGAAGAATACAATATCAATGATGAAATTAATGATAATGATACTACTACTACTACTACTACTACTACTACTACTACTACTACTACTACTACTACTACTACTACTACTACTACCACCACTACTACTACTACTACTACTACTACTATAAGGATGATAATAAAAACATTATCACCAATATTATTCTTATTCTTATTCCTATTCTCACTCTAATTCTTATTCTCATTCTTATTTTTATTATAGTTGCTTGTGACCTTCCTGTAACTCACCTGTGATGGTAACCCCGTCCGGCTTGTCTCCACTTGCTTGCGCAACCTTTATTTGCCGCAGTGGGTATAGGCTGATGGTGTAACGGTCTCCGGGGACAGTGTCACGCTCCTCTTACCTCCCGCCGTCACAACCACCGCACTGCTCTAGGCCCAGGGGTAGGGGGTCGTCTATGGCGTGTTCGTTGGTGAGGTTGACAGATGAGAAGCGAGGGAGAAGGAAAGGGGAAGGAAGAACGGAAGGAGGGAAAGAAGGAAAGAGGTTGAAGGAAGGAAGGAAGAGGTAGACAGGGGGTAGTCAACGCGTCTTCGTTGATGAGGTTGACAAATAGGAGAGGAAGGGAAGGGAGGGGGGAAGGAGAGATGGACGGAAGGAGCAGGGAAGGAAGGAAAGAGGGAAGAGGTGAGCGAGGAAGAGAAAAGAAAGGAAGGTGTGAGGAAGGGACAGAGAGGAGGGAATGAGGGGAAAGGGGGGGGGGTGAAGTGAAGGAGGGTGGTAGGGGGTGGTTAGCAGCGTGTCTAAGTCAGGTTGCCAGATGGGATGGAAGAATTTTTTTTTTGTAGGGGAATGATTAAAATTCAGAAGCTAGAAGGGAGGGCGGAATGAACGTGGAAGGAGGGCGAAAGGAGGAAGGAAGAAGGAAAGAAGGGGGGAGGGGGTAGAGAGGGAATACAGAGAGAAAGGGGAAGAAGGAAGAAAGGTGGAAGGAAGAAAGGGTAGAGCAGGGACAAAAAGAGAGAAGGAGAACGGAGGGAAGACAGAAGAAGGTACGAATGAGAAAAGGATGATGGAAGGGGAAAGGGAGTGAGGGAAAAGATCCAATGTCTTTGCTGTCCTCACAAATGCGTCAGGTTCTGAAATAACCAAAATGATTGAGTGCATGAGATCACAACACAGCGGTAAAGTAACGGGTTTCGCTTTTGAAGGCTGACGGAAGATTAACACTGACGCAGAAGGTTTGTTGTCAAATAGGCCTTATGGGATTTTTAGCCGGGAGGGGGGG